CGTAGCTCAAAATTATGGACTTGGTCACGGCTCAAAATTATGGACCGATCGAGAAAATAACGATATCTTTTCTGTGTATAAAAGTAATATTTCTGCCAAATCAAGCTCTCGTGTAGAAACGAATGTATGATGATTTTCATGGAATTATATTGCATAGTTTTCGTGAAAATTACATCAGAATGTGCAAAGAATACTTGTTTTTTTCGGAATATTTTTAAATTTTAATTCATAAATTTTCCCGATGTGAACCGTTTTATCTCATTTTCAAAAAAAAAAAATCCAAACCAAAAAATTTAGGAAAATGAAGAACATTTTGGGTGAATTTGGTTAAATTCTAATGCTTTGTTTTATCGTGAGCGTGTTTTACACTGACAGACGGACATAGCAGAATTTGATAAGGAGCCAGAATATATATAATTTGTTGGTTCTCAGATGAATATTTCTTGATGTTACACACGGAATGACAAAGTTATATATACCCTCCATCGCCACTGATGGTGATAAAAATAACCTGATTTAGAAAATGGTAGTTAGTGTATTTTATTTTCTCCTTTTCTGTATTTTGCTGAAAAAATATGGTCACCGTATCTATAGCCCACCTATTTTGCGATTTGATTTCACAAGCGCCAATTTTAGGCGAAATGCGGTTGTCATCACATGGGCGATTGCTTATTCTAGTACCAAAATGCATAAGAAATAGTGAAAAACGATAATTTTTTCGAGCTTGACCGAAATTTTTACTTTTAACAGACAGACGGACAAAGCTAAATCGACTCAAAATTGTATAAGGACCCAATATATTCGTATGTTTATACCTTGTTGGGTCTGAGATTAATATTTCTCAGTGTTACACACAGAATAACAACGAACTTGCTCCAGTGGTGGTGGTGGAGGCTATAATAATCGAATTTAAACAAAAATACGGAATTTTTCCTTTCAGAAATCAAAATTTTTGAAGAGAAATTACACAAATACTTACACATTTTCTCAAAAAACTGTACCGGATAATAATGAATGTTTTGGGTGAATTTCGTGAATTTCTATTGATTCGTTATAACGTGAGCGTGTTTTACACAGACAGACATGGCTTAATCGACTCAGAATATCATTAAGACCAAGTATATATACGTTGTTGGGTCTCACATGAATATTTCTTGCTGCCGGTTTCTCTAAATGCGAAAAAAAATATTTTCTTACCCTTGGCATAGAAATTATTTAGTTTCAGGTTATTTTCAGTGTTAGTAAACAAATTTAAAAAAAAAAATACACAAAAAACTAATTTTTAAGCGAATGATGTTTCAAATATTCGAAACTAAATTCGAAAGTTCAAAGTAAAGCTCGAAAAAAAAAACCGAATCTATGTTCGAAAAATTTTGAAAGCCGTTAAAACCAGTTCCCGCAGACCGAAGTTATAGAAATTTATCAGGGATGAGTACCCCTGATGAAAATATAATATTATGTTCGAATATTCGAAATTAAGTTCGAAAATTCGTATTAAATTCCGAAAAAATTTTTATTCTTTTAAAATAATCTTTGGATCATAAAAGCTATTTTTTTTAATTTCGAACTTATGTTCGAAAATTTTTAAAGCTAAATACAGTTCCCGTACACCGAAATTGCTGAAACTTGATAGTCATAAATCTACTTGGTTACAATACGACATTATGTTCGAATATTCGAAATTACACAAGTTCGGAAATTCGAAGAAGAATTTTGTTTTTGTCTTAAATATATTTATAAGAATGAAAATGTTGTTTCGATATTGTGAAACAGGCAGATAGTGTTACACACGGAATGACAAACTTATACATACCCTCTATCACCACTGATGGTGGTGGAAGGTATAAAAAATGTCATACTATTAAGGTAATCTTTGTTAAGCAATTAAACTGAAATGTATTAAACTTTGAAGCCCCACTCGAATGTATGAGCGACCTACTTTTTTTAGAAATGTCACTAAAACCGACTTGTTCCATAATTTGTTATTTTTAAATGGGAACTTATTTCATTATACCCTACACCACTTTAGTGGGGAGGGTATATTGGATTTGTGCTGATGTTTGTAACATACAAATATATTCGTCCTAGACCCACCTTAAAGTATACCAATCGGCTTAGAATCGTTTTCTGAGTCGATTAAGCTATGTCCGTCCGTCCGTCCGTCAGTCTGGCTGGCTGGCTGTCCATGTAAACCTTGTGCGCAAGGTACAGGTCGCAATTTTCAAGATAATTGGATGAAATTTGGCACGCACGTTTTATTTGACCCAAGGACGAAATCTATTGAAAATGGTTAAAATCGGTCCATTATTTCACCTAGCCCCCATAGAACAGAACCCCCCGAAAATGGCTTCTGAGCTCATAATTATGTTAAATATACAGATATATCGATAAATTACGGCACAACTAAGTTTTATAGAAGTCTTGATGACCCTGCCAAATTTCATAAAGATCGGGCCCCATTTGACCCTAGCTCCCATACAAAGTCCCCTTCAGAAAATTACTTGAATGTCCCAAATTAACCTATAAACACAAATATCGCGATGAAATTCACCACAATAAAATATTATGTAAATATAAATATATTCCATATTTGCCCCTAGCCCCCATATAAAGCCTCTTTCAGAAAATTAGTTTTTCATCCATAAATTGCTTAAATGTATCGGAACAAGGGAATATTGAAGATAAATGTTTTATTATGAAAAATAAATCACATTTAATATTCATAACTGGTGTAGGGTATCATATGGTCGGCCACGCCCGACTATACTTTCTTACTTGTTTTAAAATTAGGCATTTGTTTCATATGAAATAAATCCCCAAAAATGGGGTGTTATTTCATTTTAATTTAGGAATTTATTTGATTTTGTTGGGGCTTCTTTTCAATTTACCCTACACCACTTTAGTGGGGAGGGTATATTGGATTTGTGCTGATGTTTGTAACATACAAAAATATTCGTCCTAGACCCACCTTAAAGTATACCAATCGGCTTAGAATCGTTTTCTGATCGATTAAGCTATGTCCGTCCGTCTGGCTGGCTGGCTGTCCATGTAAACCTTGTGCGCAAGGTACAGGTCGCAATTTTCAAGATAATTGGATGAAATTTGGCACGCACGTTTTATTTGACCTAAGGACGAAGCCTATTGAAAATGGTTAAAATCGGTCCATTATTTCACCTAGCCCCCATACAACAGAACCCCCCGAAAAGGGCTTCTGAGCTCATAATTATGTTAAATATACAGATATATCGATAAAATACGGCACAACTAAGTTTTATAGAAGTCTTGATGACCCTGCCAAATTTCATAAAGATCGGGCCCCAAATGACCCTAGCTCCCATACAAAGTCCCCTTCAGAAAATTACTTGAATGTCCCAAATTAGCTTATAAACACAAATATCGCAATGAAATTCAGCACAATAAAATATTATGTAAATTTAAATATATTCACAAAATTTTATCGGGCTTGGTCCATATTTGCCCCTAGCCCCCATATAAAGTCTCTTTCAGAAAATTAGTTTTTCATCCATAAATTGCTTAAGTGTATCGGAACAAGGGAATATTGAAGATAAATGCTTTATTATGAGAAATAAATCACATTTAATATTCATAACTGGTGTAGGGTATCATATGGTCGGCCACGCCCGACTATAATTTCTTACTTGTTTTTAAATTGGGGAATTATTTCATAATGAAACAAGTCTCCCAATTTGAGAACTTATTTCATTTTGGTTTTGGGAAGTTATTTCGTGGGGAGTTATTTCATGACGCCGTCCAATATACCCCTGAGGATAGAACTCTTGCGCCCAGCAGAAGGCCGGCTATCAAACATATATTTTTTTATTTCCTGTGATAAAAGTAATATAATGTAATAACTCCCCAAATATATTTTTAGGGATTTATTTAATTTTTGAATTTTGAGAAATTATTTCATAATGAAATAACTCCCCATTTTAAATGTGAAATAATGCCCCAGCGATAAAGCGAATTAAATCCCCAAATTTCGTTGTTTTTGCTTTCTGAACAAATTTTTAGGAAGTTGTTCATTTTTGTTTTGGGGAGATATTTCGTAGGGAATTATTTCATGACGCCAAATAATCACCTGAGAACCAACAAAGTATATATATTATTGGACCTTATGAAATTCTGAGTCGATCTAGTTATGTCCGTCTGTCTGTCTGTCTGTATAAAACAAAATTTGTCACACATATTATCTTTATATACAAAAATGTTATTTTAAAATTTTTTTCTCGATGGGTCCATATTTGGTCATAGCTCCCATACAAGGTACTTCCCGAAAATTACTTAAACGCACATAACTCATTTCTAAATTAAGATATCCATACAAAATTTAGAACAAATATTACCTTTATATATCGGTTTTATCGATCCACAATTGGTCATAGCTCTCAAGCAAGGTACCCTTCAGAAAAGCACTTAAACGCACATAACTTATTACGAAATAACGATATCCATACAAAATTTGGAGCAAAAATTACTTTTGTACTCAGAAATTTTATTTTAAAAGTTTTTCACGATCGGTCCTTATTTGATCATAGGTCAAGGTCCCCTTCCGAAAATCACATAAACGTATATTACACATTACCAAATAATTATATCCTTACAAAATTTGGCACAAATATTAGTTTTGTATACAAAAATGCTATTTCAATATTTGGTTCACTATCGGTTCATTATTGGTGGTAGCTCCCATAGGAGCCATTAGGGCGCTATAAAAATTTAAATAAAAATGGTGTTCGTAATGTTCAATAAATCAACAACATAACAAATTTAAGCTAATCAAATCGTGGGATTTTTCTATTAAAAATATAAGAAAACTTATTTCCACAAATATTTGGTCAGTTAAAAGTAGCTGGTGGAGGGTATTTAAGATTCGGCTCAGCAGAATATTTTCTATTTTCATCTTATTTTACTACTTTTACTAAAAATATATTCAAACAAACCTATTAATATAAAAATATTTATTTATTTATTTATTTAAGGCTATATATAAAATGGTTGGATCTGTTATGAAAATGCCTGAAGACGAAAGCACACCAGAAAAAAGAACTGATAAAATATTTAGGCAAATGGATCGAAACAAGGATGGAAAATTAAGTCTTGAAGAATTTATAGAAGGAGCAAAAAGTGATCCATCAATAGTACGTTTATTACAATGTGATCCTCAATCACATTAACTTACATTTAAATGGTTTAAGTAAGCAATAAATGTTCGGATTATGATAGAAATTAAATAATTAATCGTTTGTTTTATTCTTGAGATACAACAAAAATGTTTTTCTAATAACGTGAGTTATGCATGCCTACGAACCACAATAGTATTTCTAATTTTAGAAGGTGTAATCGATGTTAGTCTTCCTAGAATATCAGCATGGCTCATAATGGTGTGATTTTAACAATTTAACGCCAATTGAAAAACATCTAGAATTAGACAAATGCAGATCATAACAAATTACATGTACATATATATAAATTAATTGAACGATTTGTAGTAGTTCGTAAGTTTCACAATTTAATAATTAAGTTAGCTTTAAGATTCATTTAAATAAACCCACTTATAAAATCTAAACTTATTTTATATATTTTTTATTTAATACTTTAACATTCAGTCTTACTCTCCGTTCGAACGGAGACGAACGCGTTCGTCTCAGGGCTACCAGATAAATTTGTACAAATATCGGCAATTTTTTCCTTAAAAATCGGCATTTGTCAACACTTACATTTTAAAAATCGGCAATTGAAAAAAACACTATTTTAAACCGAAGAAACATATCACAAATTAATTTAAAAAACCGCAATATTGTTTTTACATACATAACTCAAGGAATTTTTATTCAGAATAGGTCTAATAAAAATGAAAACCGAAACTCTGTTTTACTGGAATAAACTCGATAAGAATTTGTATCAGTTTTGCAGAAAAATTTTAATTTTTAATTATTTGTTGAATACTATCCTGTAAAATATTTTAAAATTACTTACATTACTTTGCAATGAGTGGTCGTTATCAACAAACTTAATAAACATTTTTCAATAGGATTTATAACCAATTGTCTAGAGCGTATGTCTAATAAGGAATTAGTTAGTGGTTCTAATCCTAATCGACATTAAAAGTTTTTTGAAAAAATATTGTTTTTTACATTTTTTTTAAACCATATCAAATAGATAAAATAAGTTGTTAATAAAGCATTAATTAAAAGAATAGACTAATAAACACAGAAAATAACTGTAAAGCCGGTTTTATTTCCAGGAAAGTTGGGAACGCACATTTGTAATCAATTATTTTTTTTTTCGTCGAACAAAACACGGGTAAGATTTTGTTTGGTAAATTTCAATAATGGGAAATTATCCAAAATTTTTGTTCAAAATTAGCTTTTCCTCAAAATGTGTAAAATAAATTGTGTTTTTATACGCTACACCACTATAGTGGGAAGGGTATTATGCGTTTGTGCTGATGTTTGTAACGCATTAAAATATTAGTACTATACCCACCTTAAAGTATACCGATCGACTCAGAATCACTTTCTGAGTCGATTTAACGATGTCCGTCCGTCCGACCGTCCGTGTGTCCATGTAAACGTTGCTATCAAAGCACAGGTCGCAATTTTCAAGGTAATTTAATGAAATTTGGAATACACGTTTGTTTTGACCCAAGGACGAAGCCTATTGAAAATGGTTAAAATGGGTCCATTATTTCACCTAGCCCCCATACAACTGAACCCCCCGAAAAGGACTTTTGAGCTAATAATCCTATCCTATATATATATATAAAAAAGACTGTTTGTTTGTTTGTGTGTTTGTTTGTGTGTTTGTTTGTTACGCTTTCACGACAAAACTACTGAACCGATTTACATGAAATTTGAACCGCTATTAGGTCCAACCTCAAAAGGAACAATAGGCTATATAAGATCTTGATCGGATGCCACGCCCCCTTTTACGCCCACTTTTTGTGAAACTATTATTACACCAATTTTGCAATCACAATATGTAAAAACTACTAAACCGATTAACTTGAAATTTTGCATACCGAAAGAACTATAGGGTATATATAAGAACTTGATCCGATGCCACGCCCTTTCTACGCCCACTTTTTATAAAACTACCCTTACCTATATCTTATCCTATATATATATATTTACATGAAATTTGGACCGCTATTAGGTCCAACCTCAAAAGGAACAATAGGCTATATAAGATCTTGATCGGATGCCACGTCTACTAAACCGATTAACTTGAAATGCATACCGATAGGTAAAAGCTTGGAAAGAACTATAGGCTATGTATAAGAACTTGATCCGATGCCACGCCCTTTCTACGCCCTCTTTATATATATATATATATATATATATATATATATATATATATACACTATCGGACAAAATAAAGTGCAAAAGTGCTCATGCTATATTCTTTCAGCGAAAAATCGGTTAAATGATTATTGAATATGGAATTCTTTAAATATTCATTTAGTTTATATACAATGCTACAAAAATAACAATAAAACAAAATTATTCCATCTTAAATTTTTCTGTATAACATAAATAACTAAAAGTAAATTCACTTTTTTGTCGGACAAAATAAAGTGTAAATTTTATATATCATTATTTAAATTTCTTGTATATCCAAATTTTTTATCTATTTTGATTCTGATTTGAATATCTAGATCAACTTAAGACATTTTTGTATTTTTTTTACCATTATTATTCGCAATCGCCTCCCTTTCCCCTTGCTTTCCCCTATACGATTATTTTCAAAAGAAATCCGTTTTTGTTCGCTATTTCAGCGGAATATTTAATCAATTGCTGTCAAAAATTAATCAATTGGATTTAAGGCGATGCTCTGAGCAGGTCATTCCAATTTTTCAGTGTTTATTTTTTAAACAGAAATGTTTTTAACCTTTGTCGTGTGTTTGAAGCCATGAATCTGTTGAGGCATTAAGTCTCCCAAATCATTTTTTACGGCATTTATTTCAAAATTTGTATTAAATACGCTCGTGAATTGCTCATTTGTTATTGTTTACTCCATTTTCACTACGATTCCCGCTCCTAAAGTTGAATAATGTAGCAATACCGGTAGCCATCCACCATAATGTTTAAAACCTGTGGTATTGTTTTTAAAATATTGGGCTGAATTCACACTCATTGTCGACATTTTAAAATTTTCGGTACAAATTGGACCCCTCTGACCAACTACGCAAATTTGAGCTAAAAAATACAAAATTAAATACTAAAATCGAAAAAAATTTTCATGCTTTTAAATATGTTGGTGAAAGATTGAAAATATGGTTAAGTTGACTCTTCGTATGTGTCCGATTTTTAACGTTAGGTGTGAGGAACCTATGGGGAAATTTATTCAAAAAGCTCCAGTGAACACCATGTGAGCACATTACAGTCAAATTTTAAGATCAGTGCCTTCGAAATGGACTTGTTCAACTTTATATCTCGGCAAGATAATAAGCTTAAGCACTTGATAAAGTTAAAAAATAACATTACTGTAGGAAAGAATACTGAAAAATTGGAATAAGTTGCTCAGAGCACCGCCCTGAATCCAATAGATTAATTTTGGGCCACAATGATCAAAAAATTCCGATGAAATAGTGATCAAAAACGGATTTCTTTTGAAAATAATCATATGGGAAAAGCAAGGGGAAGGGGAGGCGATTGCGAAAAACAATGGGGGAAAAAATTACCAAAATGGCTTAAGTATATCCAGATATGCAAATCAGAACCAAAATAGATAAAAAATTTTGATATACAAGAAATTTAAATAATGATATATAAAATTTACACTTTATTTTGTCCGACAAAGAAGTGAATTTAGTTTAATTTTAGATGTTATACAGAAATATTTTAAGTACAATAATTAAGTTTTATTGTTATTTTTGTAGCATTGTATATTAACTAAATGATTTTGAAAAAATTTTGCATATTCAATAATCATTTAACCGATTTTTCGCTGAAACAATATAGCATGAGTACTTTTGCACTTTATTTTGTCCGATAGTGTATATATATACATATATATATATATATATATATATGTATATATATACATATATATATATATATATATATATATATATATATACATATATATATATATATATATATATCTATATATATATATATATATATATATATATATATATATATATTATATATATATATATATATATATATATATATATATCTATATATATATATATATAACAGACTGTTTGTTTGTTACGCTTTCACGACAAAATTACTGAACCGATTAACATGAAATTTGGGCAGCCAATAGGTCTAACCCCAAGAGGAACAATAGACCATATATAGGATCTTGATCGGATGTCACGCCCCTTTTTACGCCCACTTTTTGTAAAACTATTATTACACCAATTTTGCAATCACAATATGCAAAAACTACTAAACCGATTAACCTGAAATTTCGCATACGGATAGGTATAAGCTTGGAAAGAACTATAGGCTATATATAAGAACTGGATCCAATGCCACGCCTCTTTCTACGCTCACTCTTTATAAAACTATCCTTACCTATATCGTATCCTATAATTATATGAAAGAGAAATTCTGTTTGTTACGCTTTCACGGACAAACTGCTGAACCGATTTTCATTAAATTTAGAACACTAATAGTTCTATTCTGAAGTGGAACAATAGGCTATATAAAATCATGATTTGACGTCACGATTTACATGAAATTTGGTATACCGATCTCAGGATCTGGATCGGACGCCACGCCCCTTTTTACACAAACTTTTTGTAAAATAATTATTAAACCAAATTTACGTTCAGGCATACAAAAAACTACTGAGGCGATTTTCATGAAATCTGTTATAATGAATGTTGTGGAATGAACAGTACGACACATTACATCTTCAAAACCTATAATATATAATAATAAATATATATGAGAATTTTTTTACTCTTTCACTACATAACTAATAAACTTATTTTCATAAAATTTTGCATTTAATAGGTCTAACCTCAGAAGTTAAAAAAAACTGTATATGATATTGATTTGATGCTACGCACATTTTTATTTTTTGAATAACAATGAACAGCTGTAACACCAAATTTCTAGGCTAAATATAAAAAAATATGAACCGATTTTCAAGAAATTTGGCAACAGACAGTGTATTTTTAGAATCAATTTTTTGATCTGGATTCTATGCTTCATGAAATTTTGCATGACAACAGTTCTATCGTGGAAAGTTAGGTTAGTTTGAGGAAGAGAAT